GGGGGGGGGGGGGGGGTAAGTGTTCAACCAACCCCACCAAAATTTCGCTTCACCCCTCCTATTTTGTGTGAAAGGCTTTAACCCAAATGCCTAACCCCTGCCGAAGCTCACTGAGTGGTGCCACTTGCACCCCACCAGAAATTGTTCTACCTCTCCTTTTAAATAAATGAAAATCCGTCCTTGTGCAACACTCAAAAGAAATAAACAGTATGTGTTATCCCCATAGATATCTTATATACACTAGATAGCGCATCTCATTTAGTAAAATTGAAGCCATGAATATTCCAGCGGTTACCCTCATTTGAATAGATGGCGGCCATGTTGGTCGTTCCCACTTGCTAATAAACGCTTAAAAGCAACAATAACTTTCATTATTTGAATAGTTTAAAAACGTATTTGGAATAGGGGTAACTTAATGTTTAAGTTCTCTGTTTAAGAAATAGAAAACATACGAATCTTCTCATTTCATGCATGGGAACGACCTGAGACTGCAATCACAGCTTCAATTTTTGAATTGCAGAATAATTAGATGCACTATCTAGTGTATATAAGATATCTATGGTTATCCCTCTCTAAATATTTAAAAATTCGTTAATTGTTACTTGAATTCTTCGACAGATATTCCCCGTGATATAATTACATCCATTTTTAAAGCGATCAATGTCTGTAGAGAGCCATTCTCGGCGCTACCAACGGCCCAACAAGCTGAGCATATTGTTTTACTTCGTCCTCGTCGTTTTTCGATTTAAATCGAGATTTGTACGTCTAAACAGAGAATTTTACATTAAGGTTATTATTATATACATGGTCTGGTAGAGAACTCTATCATTTTAAACCGTTCTCCCTAATGTCACTCTAGGAGGAAACCTAAACCAAACTAACTTTTTTATACTGGAGAGCTCTATCAGTTCTAAAATGTTCTTCCTAGAGGTTCAGCAAGGATCATCTCTTATTGATCCAGTGTTACTACAGAAGGAAACCTAAACAATTATACTGCATGAAGAGCTCTACCAGTTCTAAAATGTTCTTCCTAGAGTAAGTAAGGATCATCTTTTACTGATCCAGTGTTACTACAGGAGTAAACTTAAACTAAACCAACTTTATTTATACTGGATAGCTCTATCAGTTCTAAACTGTTCTTCCTAGAGGTCCAGTAAGGATCATCTTTTATTGATCCGGTGTTATTACAGGAGGAAACCTAAACTAAACTAACTTTATTTGTACTGGATAGATTTTCACTTCTAAACTGCTCTCCCTAGAAATTTGGTAAGGGTGGTCTCATATATCGGTAAAACCTTTTCTGCATTCTCAGCAACTCTTTCTGTTTCCTATATTTTACCAGATATCAGATTTCTACCGGATAACAACTCCGAAACAGTTTATGGTAATTTCTGAACTGCTTTTGCCACAGGTCCAGTAAATGCAAATTCCTTATCGGTCCAGTGTAACTACAGAAGGAAATCGGAATACCCAAAAAGAACCTGTGATGTTTGTCAAACTAAAAGCACATGTTATAACCAGAGGACCGCATATAGGGCAAGAAGACACACACTTACCACATAACTCATCAAGCCTGCTTGGGAAACAAGCACCCGAACAGTGTTGATGTCGACAACTGCATCCTCTGAAAGTAAATGACAAAGGTTTTAGAATTACTTAATAGAAAGTGTAATGTCACGTGTGCGGTTTTCAAGGTCCTTTCATTATTTAAGGCCAAAAACGTTACAAAAGGATACCATTCAGTTGTCACACATGTCCTTTACCACTTCTGTGACATGAGTTTGATAACTGCTTGTGCAATTTTCTGCAGTCTAAAGTTTCACGTTGTCTGCACATGCATGTACTTTTTTTGGAGACACCATTTGCCCGTAGCTGAGAAATCGTAAAATGATCAAGATAGTGGGTCTGGTTGATTTACATGTTGTAATATTGACATACGACTACTTTTAGTCTTCAATTTTAGAATGAGTCATGCTTTGGAAATGACAATACATTTTTTATTACCCAATCCTTGAGTTGTTTTGTTTTTCATTTACCCAACCTTTTACTCACTCACAAGGGTGGTCGCTACTGTAGCGAGCTACAATTTTCAAGTAGCCAAGTAATTTTTGACTACTTTTTAAAACAGCAGCTGCAGTTATAGTGAACTACATTTGGCCTAAAAGTAGCCAAGTAGTTGACTACTTTTCAAACAGCGAATCGTTATTCGCTACTTTTTAAAATTGTTAGCAACTTGAAAGAATAGCATGATATTGAGACACGGTTTGCTTAAAATCAATACTCAATAGTCAGTTTGCACTCTTGAACACTGTAGTGCTTACAAAAATGTTGCTTTGTGTTCACTGTTGCTACTCGTAAGTCGATTTGTTACATGAGGTTACATTTCAGCCTGAGTTAGTAGATGTTCCAAATACAGTAAAACTAAAAAATATACTATAGCGTTGCGAAATAGTTGGCTACATTTTTTTAAGCAGTAGCTGTAGTCAGTATAGCGAACTACCTTTGTTCAAAAGTAGCAGTAGTTGTAGCTGACTGCATATTTTTGAAGTAGCTGTAGTTATTGCAAACTACAAAAATTTTGTAGTCAACCCACCCTTGCAGTCACTCAAAATTTCGTTTACCCAACTCTTTTCTCTTCGGTGCCACCCAATGACCGGCCCTACCTTTGTCAGTCTCATCCAGTCTGGAATATTTCTCGACATCAAGTTTAGGAGCACATTTCTCGATTGGTATCCACGAGTAGGTCTCTGGACAAACCAGATAGGAAGGACTGTACTGACCCTATATCAAAATTTAAATTATGTAGAATTGATTAAAAGGAGTATACCTTTTACTGAGTACTGTACATGCATGAAGAAAAAAAACACGTACTTTGTACTTCATCTTTGGACATGAATGAACATAAAATCCCATGTAATAATATTTCAAGTCTGAGCTCGACTTGTTCAGTTCTTTTGTTAAATGCAATTCTCTAAAAGCAATAGAACAGTTGTATTTTAATTAAACACAAACAGCGGTCCGTAAAGAATTGATATAGCATTTTAATGGACATATTCCCTAATTAACAAAATTTTGATCTAGACAAGTCTAGATAAAAATTTTATCACGGCTTGAAAGAGCATCACAAAATTAGTAATATTCCGAAGTTTCGTTGCGAAATGTTGTAAAATGCGGATAATATAGCCCTGCGAAGTTTGCCGTTTTTCAGTCATTTTGTATTACGCACGGGAAATTGATACCTTCTTTCAGAAAGCGGTATCAATTTCCCGTGCGTAATACAAAATGACTGAAAAACGGCAAACTTCGCAGTGCCATATTATCCGCATTTTACACCATTTCGCGACGAAACTTCGGAATATTACTAATTTTGTGATGCTCTTTCAAGCTGTGGTGAAATGTTTGTCTAGACTTGTCTAGATCAAAATTTTGTTCATTAGGGAATAGTTCCATTCCCTACGTTTCGACCATTTCCCGGAGCCCTGCATGCGATTCCGGTGCAGTTCTCTGACCAACTGAGCTACAGAGGCCAGTTGTCGAGCTCTAACAACAAGTTCGATTCCGGTCAGATCCCTGGCCTATTATATATACTGTAGTTGCATTTTTTTGCAATTGCTCTAGTGGGGCAGATTGGTGAAAATTATAGAAGAATTGTGCATTTGATGATAAAAGCCACAACTTGGCAAAATATCAGGGTATACCCTAAGGACATTTTTGGGCCATAATGGCATTACAGATTAGCTTCTGGTTACCACAATTTTTTTTCTTACCATTTAACAACTAAAGTACGATCTCTTAAGTTCACTTTTAGCAAACATGACCTATATCGTTAGAAAGATCGCAAAAAACTAAATATAGGACATTTAAACGGCTGTTATGATTTTCGACACCGATTTTAAGTTACACTGCGATAAGGTTAAACCCGCTAGAAAACAATATTTTGTGGCCATTTGTACCAATTTGCAGTTCTTGACCGCTAATAACTTGGGATAGGCTTGGAAAACCATATTACTCGTTTAAATGTTCTTGACATAGTTTTTTGTCAGAAATCTTTCTAA